ACTTTACGAAAAAATTTCGTAACTACTTGTTTCGTAATATATACATACGAAAATTTCGTGTATAATACGAAATATTGTTTAATCAACCCCTTTTCTAATTTTACGAAAGTACGAAAACCTATCGTAATATCTTTTTTCGTATATATTAAGAAACTTTGTTTTCTTTTACAAAAATAATTTCGTTAAGACATGTAATATTTAACGAAAGTAACGAATTTTTTTCGTAACAAAATTAATTAGTAATATACAAGAATTATTTTTGATTTCACAAAAAAAACTATTTTGTTACGATTTTTTTTTTGTTTTTTTCGTAATTAGCTGCCTAATTTCCTGTAAATTTTTTTATGTTTTTTTTAAAAACATAAAAATTTGTTTTTTTAATTTGCAATCTTTTTTTAAATTTACAATAATTATTTTAAAAGATCTAACATATTTATGTCTTTAAAAAAAATCGTAAAATGAAATTTTTTTTTTCTAAAATTATATAAAATTATTTTGCATTTTATATATTACGAAAGAATTTCGTGGTGCGAAACCACGAATCATTTCGTACAATGTACAACATTTTTCGTGTATATTAGGCATGGATTATTTTCAGTGTAGAAACAAAAACAATATACACAAGGCAATGAAACACACAGCCATCCAAACATACGAAACTGAATACACTAAGAAACAAAAACAACATACACAAGGCAATGAAACACACAGCCATCCAAATATATGAAACGAAATACTCAAAAAAACAAAAACAAAATACACAACGCAATGAATAAGCAGTGTTGTTGTTGCTTATTTTTTATGAAAATTTCAGAGGTTGTCTCGGATTTTTGCTTATATCTCCGTTGTTTATGAACGGATTTTGCTGATTTTAAATAGGAAACTTCTCGAAAGCATGTCTGATAGAATTATTGAAGATTTGGATCCCCAAGATATCTGGGGTCGTCAGAAAACTGATTTCAACAGACAGACGGACATGGCTTAATCGACTCCGCTATCTATAAGGATTCAGAATATATATACTTTATGGGGTCGGAAAATTATATTTTGGAAATTACAAACTTATATATGTATACCCTTCTCACGAAGGTGGAGGGTATAAAAAGACAAAAAGAAAAATTAAAAAATCTTCAAAAACAAAAAAGTTATAATAGTTCAAAATTAAGGAATATTCAGCAGGTAAAAATTGATTTAAATTTTCTGTAATAAACACGACTTTCGGAGTACCGTTATTCTGTTTTGGGTCACATTTCTTTAATTTAAAAACATTTGTTTAATATTTGGCCAATTGCCTCTCATATTAAATTCAAACAAAGGCAAAAAATAATGATAAAAATTTTGAGTTTAGTTATAATTCAAAATTGGTATAACGAAATGTATAAAAAAATAATGAAGTTTGCTGAAGTTTAAATTTATAGAAATAGAAAATTGAAATGTACACTCCTAATTTCTCGATATGATGTATAAAATTAGTTTAAAACTCCCTATCATTGCTTACGATCATTTTATAACTTACTATTAGGGTAGACATTATAAATGTATTTATCATTTAAATAATCGAGAAGGCATTTTGGAAATAACCTGGAAGAAAAGAAAACAATCTTAGATCACTAGGTAAGATATTCCAGTATCTTTCAGTTGTTATAATAAACGATCGTTCATAGACAGAAAACGTTATAAGCGGTAAAATAATTTGTGGATTTCTGATGGATCTTGAAAAAATACATCTTTTATGAATGAAATTTATGGTCTGCTATATTTATGTTTTTTTAAAAGTATATTAAGTTACGGAGTTTTATGTACTGTATGAAAGAACCGAATGGAAAGTTGTTAATAGAATTAGATATGTGTTCATAGTATTTAATACAATAGACAAATCGTATAATTCTCTTGACCACACAAATATTCTATATAAAATTAGTGAACTGACAGTAGAGCCCTCAAGACAGTAATTTATATGTGACATTAACAATGCGTGGGTTAGAGTTATCTTAACATTTGTGGGCAAGTATAAACCAGAGTGGTATAGTCGGCTGAGTGCAAAAGACATACGAGATGAAACAATATCAATCTATTCATCATCTGTCCTATGTTGCCGCAAATATTGACGTCATGTAGTACCCTACAAGCTGACATTATCGCGAATATTTCGGTGAGATACACTTATCACAGCTTCTTCACAGAAGACACCACAACCAACACCACAGTTCATTTTGGTGGTATATTAGCTCGGTAGGTTACCTCTACACCACTCGCTTCTGAAAGGAACTCTGACTTTGAAAACTATATCAAAATCCGTGTGTGGGGTAATATAATCGGATGGTTGGTTCAATATTGGAGGTAATTGGCTTAAAATCTTAGCGTGTCCATATGTTCTTGATATCCAACTTCCAGATGAGACAAGCCTCGCTGAGCTGCAAGATTTGCACATAATATGCAGATCTATAGGTAGGATGTGCAATATAGTGTTCAGAGCTTCCGAAGGACTAGTTCTTAGAGCACCTGTTATCCCAATGCATGCTGATCTCTGAACTTTGTATAGCTGATCTACAACAAATTTCTTGTTAGTTGAAGAATACAAGAGATCTATAAATAAGAATAGGACGTACTATAGCTGTATACTCCCCATTTCATTCCAAATATATTACGACAGGTATAGTAGGCAACCGTTGCCTTCATGACTCTGTGCTGGATGTTGAGTTTCCATGATAATTTGTAGTCTACAATAATTCCTAGATATTTGGCATTGTTCGATAAGGGTATTTCGCAGTTCTTTAACCGCGGCAAGTAGAATCTTTTAATCTTGGTCTTTGTTGCGTATAGTACCAGTTCCGTCTTGTTTGGGTTTATTCCTATGCCGCTGTCTGTGGTCCAATTATAGAGTAGCACCAAAGCATTAGACATGATATCACTAATCAAGTCTGGGAACATTCCTAATACCAATATCACAACATCGTCCGCGTAAGCAACGACTTCTATCCCTCTGTTGTCCAGTTCCATGAGAATCTAGTTAACAACGATGAGCCGAAGTAGTGGGGAGATTACGCCGCTGTTACCAAGACTTCTGGATTTCAACATAGTTACTAGCCAGTTGCTGATATACTCTTCAACATCTAGATTAAGAAGAGCTTGTTGAAGTGTAGAAATATTTACGTTATTGAAGGCACCTTCTGTGTCTAAGAAGGCTCCCATAGTATATTGTTTAAATTCGAGGGGTCTTTCTACAAATCTGACAACCTCTTGTAGAGCAGTCTCTGTAGATCGTCCTTTAAGGTAGGAATGTTGACTAATTAAAAGCCGCGATGTGATAATATGTGAATCAATGAGTCTTTCCAGCGTTTTGAGCTGAAAAGATGAAAGACTAATTGGACGAAAGTCTTTCGCATTCTCATGACTCCTTTTGCCAGCTTTGAGAGTAAAAACGAGGCTGAGCGTATATATTCTATGAAACCAGGGGATATATGTATATTCTTTTGCACAGTGTCGTCCTTCCTTTTAATGTAGGTTGGATTAAATTGGCCTTTAGCAAGAATTTTGCTAAGTCTAGCAGAGTCTTTTGTGTTGTCTAAAGATTCGCAAAAACTTCGCCATGAGGTTCTTTTTGCGACTGTTATATGTAGCTTCCTATATGCTTTTAATTTGTCGCGGTATGGCTGCCACGATTTATTGTTGTAGCATGTACTGAAGGTTCACGCGTTTCTTTACGTAGCTTAGATAGCTCCGAATTTCACCATAGAGGGAAGCTTTTCTTTGCCTTTGTGATTGGGCAGGAAATTTCAAAAGCTTTTCTCAAAACTTTGCTAAAGTTTTCTTCCATATTTTCAAGGACATTACTAGTAATCTTTGTTTATAAGCAAAAACTTGCAATTTTTTTACAAATTGACGTTCGCGTTGATTAAATTAAAAATTACTCTCAATTATAAAGTTACTGGATAATTTTTACTGGAAAGTACGCAAACACACCTAATGTTTATAAGCACATGTTTATAATCATAATGAATATTGAAACGGGCAGTTAAGAACCGCTTAATTTAATTGCAAATACAATTTCGTAACGATATTTTAAAATATTTTTTGTGATGACAAGACAAGGCATCGACTTTGTTCCTCATAGACTATTGCTAAAAGAGGGGCAAATGATATCGACTCAAAATGTGTAATGAATTTACCAAACTCTATAAAGCAGGTCATTCTATATACATATATACTGTTCATGCATAAAATAGAAAAAAGGAAAAAGCAATGTACCGGTTCAATTCAACATCCTAGCAACTCTTATAACAGCCACCAACAAAAAACTATGTACTACTTCGTTTACGAGCTAAACCAAAATCAATTTTTTAATGTCAATACTTTTTTCAGGAATAAGGAATTCTATAACTTCAGTTAATTTTTTATTAATTTTAATATTTTCTTTCTTTAATACATAGGTGAAAAATTTGAGTGAACGTATTTAGAGTGATCGATTATTCGACATTTTCCAAAAACCGGTTTTCGAATAGTTAACATTTCAAAAAACCGGTTGATATTTTTTAAATTAAGAAAAAACCGGTTAACCGGATTATTCGAAAAATCGACATTTAGAAAAAACCGACACTGGTAAAGCAGAAAAACCGGTTGAAAAACCGAGTCGATCACCCTAGTAAATATGTATTTACATCAGTAATTTTTATAAACATAATTTAAGAAATCGCTAGAATATCAACAATAAAGATGTTTCCCGCTGACTTGGTTTCCAAAATCAGTGTATTAAAGAGAAAATAGATAAATTGACACCACTGCGGCAGATGTACATGGAAAACAATGGAGATGTCTCAAGGTGGTGGCGATTGAACAGCTGATTGTTTTTAGTATTCTACTTCTGTCAAATTAAATTTTAATTGGTTCTCAAAATACACAAAACTCAAAAAGAACAATAATTATTTGACAGCACTATTACCTTTTGCAGTTAAAAAATGTCTGTTGTTTTTGTACTTGTTATTGTTAATGACAAACTGCCACCATATTGATGAGTTTGGCCTGATGTGAACCAAACAGTTTGTTTATTTAATTTTTTGAAATGTTTACATTTTGATTTTGGGCGAGGACTTGAAAATATAGAAAAATGCATTAATGCAACAATATTTTGTTTAATTTACATTTTTTAACAATAAGAAACACTAAATATTCCATAAAAAATGTCTGGATTTATAGCTGTTCACACAGGTATTATTAGATAAATGAATATTAAGGATCCAGCTTGAATAGTTGTTATTGTTGCATTTCTTTTTAATTGCCATTGTAGGTGCTGGAAATATAGTTGATGAAACTAAATACCAACGCGTTATAAAAGAAGCATGTGTAAGAGCTACCGATATCTTAAAGAATGGCGGATCTGCAATGGATGCATGTGAAGCAGCAATTATACGTTTGGAGAATTGTGGTAATACAAACGCAGGGCTTGGTTCGAACCTCTGCTGGGACGGATATGTGCAATGTGATGCATCTATAATGAATGGTTCCAATTTGCACTTTGGTGCCTGTACAAATGTTTCAACTGTGAAAAACCCCATACAACTGGCACGAATGTTGTGTGACGGTCAGGATCGAATGCTCTCTATGGAACGTATACCGCCAATGGTTATGGCTGGTCCTGGCGCAGAAAGATATGCCGAAGAATTAGGTTGTGCCATGATAGAAGCCAGTGGTCTTATATCATCGAAAGCTAAATTTACGTATAACCATTACAAGTCAAAAGTGGGAAATTTAACAAAGGCATCTAGCACGAAGGTAGAGAATTCAACACATGAGTCAAATCCTCAAGAGACAGAAGTGAGTGCATTAGATACTGTAGGAGCGGTATGTGTTGACAGTATTGGAAACTCAGCGGCTGGTTGTAGTTCAGGCGGTTTAATTTTAAAAGTTCCTGGTCGTGTCGGTCAGGCAGCAACGTACGGAGCCGGCTGTTGGGCCACAGACACTGACGATCTTTCCATTGCCACTTGCACTACCGGCAATGGCGAATATCTAATGAAGACTTTCCTGGCCAAGGAAATATGTGCTGATCTCTTTACTGCCGACTGTGCTGTAACTAGCCTGCATAAAACATTCAAAAGCAAATTTCTGGAATCTCCTTTTCTTCCGGCCGATCAGGGTCTATATGGTGGAGCCCTGTCATTGCTGTACTATCCTAAAACAAACAGCGGGGAGGTGTTATGGAGCCACACTACAAAATCATTTTGCGTGGGTTACATGTCAACGCAACAGAAAACGCCAAAAGTTTGTGTCAATCAATTGTTTTTGTCTAATCGTTTATTTTGTTGTTGTTCCTCATGTATACATTATTTTCTTTTATTTTTTTCTGTTTTTCACACAGTTTGTTTATTCGCCATTGCCAACATACAGTCTGCCGGGAAAGTCGAGCGTTGTGAATGGACACAATTTCCATCTGCGTGTATAGTTTTGACGTAATCGTGAGAATCATTATTAAATGTTTAATGTGAATACAATGATCATGTAAACTACAAAAAAGAAAAACAAATTAGTAAATAAATAAATATTAATATAGTACATAATAAATGTTATATATGTTTGTATGCCTAAGTGTGGAGGATGATGATCATTTAACTGATTATAATGATATTAATGACAATTTTCATTATACTTTCCTTCTACATATGTATACCCACCCCCATTGTCGTTTCCTTAAATATTTCTTTATTATAATATGTATGTACATATATATATATATATATATATATATATATATATATATATATATATAAATATATCTCGCAAATCGTTTGGGTATTAAACTTATTTATTCGCCATTTTTACAAATTTTATTCATTAATCATTAACAATATCAATAAAGTGACAATGAACAATATATCTATAAAAAAAAATAAATTATTAAAATTTTGACCGAATCTTTATTAGGATGAGGGTCGTAATTGAGAATTATTGGATTTTTATTAAATTAGTTATTAAATTGCTATTTTATAAACTTAATTAAAATTAGTTTATAAAATATTTTAATTACACCAAACTTCTTAAGTCATCACTAACATGTACATAAGAACAATCAAATATGTTAGGACCATTAAAAAAAAATGGGAAAAATTGTACTGAGTTAAAAAAAAAAAAAAAACTATTAAAATTAAGGAGTTTGTTTCAAACATCACGATTTTTTTTGTGATTCAAAATTTAATGGCGATGTCACAGAACATACACAATATGCCACGTCGGTTCAGGGTAGAGCCCACAATCGACCTATACCTTCAAGGTAGTAGGGCTCAATGAACACAAAGCTTGGAATGTATGAATTATACATATTTGGAATTAATTATTAATTATTTCGGCTTTTAATTTGTGAATGTGCCATTCCTTGAAATGATTCTTTGAATATTTAATTCTAAAGCTGAATTCCTTGGCTTTATATTCCATTGGATTAATTCATTCTTCTGAATATTTTTCTTGTTCAATATTTAATACGCATCATTTGAGAGGTATTACTACACTGAAAATAATACATGCCAATCTTTACGAGCCAAAAAATTTGTAACAACATTTTTCGTAATATTAATACTAGTGGTGTCCGGTCCGCGTTGCAGGCCCTCGATTGGACATGTAGACTTTACACGTAAAGATCTATGTACTATTATACCCCTCTAATTTTATAATTTGCGGTTTAGGCGTAATTGACTGAAAATTAAAACTTCGACGCCATCTATCGGAGAAATTTAACACTTTACAGGAACACTTCTCACGATCCCTGAAACGTATGCACATATTTGAAATTTTGTCCTATCAGGTGACGTAGTTCCTGAGTTTATCGACTACGAATAAACATAACTCTCTTATTAATTAAATAGATAGATAGATAGATAGATAGATAGATAGATAGATAGATAGATAGATAGATAGATAGATAGATAGATAGATAGATAGATAGATAGATAGATAGATAGATAGATAGATAGATAGATAGATAGATAGATATGAAATGTTATTTAATCAGACCCTTTTCAAATTTTACGAAAGTGAGAAAACCTTCCATAAATTTTTGTTTCAACTGTGGGTGGAGGAAGATTGTCCTGCGTCGTTGCCATTATCACTTAGGGGGAATCAGGTCGTTTTTGCTCTGCCTTCGAGAGTTTTACGTTTCAAATCGCATTGGCCAAATTAGTGACGTCGAATAACTGTAACAAGTACCGATTTTCGAAGTGCACGTTAACCATATGCAATCATGTTAACTTAACCTATGTTTTTGATTATGGTGGAGAATCAAATAAATCGAACTTCATCATCTGGATTCTATAATACAATAACCAGAAAAGTTCTTATTCATAAACAGGGCAGGGTTAACAGGGTTTGTAGTCAAAAATAACTTTTAAGTAGTTTTCATTTCGAATCAAAGAATTTGCCACAAAATGGCATCGATTTGTTGTTGCATATTTTGTTATAAATGCATAAATTTCATATTTTGCTTTAAAATGCATATTTTTAACATTTTTATAGCATATTTAGCATATTTTTTAATTTTTCGAACACAAATTATGTTTTTTTGTACTACATATTTTTAAAATTAAAAAAAATATATAAAAAAAAAAATAAATTAAAAAATTGTAAACAGTAAAGAAATATCTATCTAAACTCCTTTGGACAAGTAGGTGAAAAGTTACACTCATTTGAAAAAAAATGTCTAAACCATTGATAGTCTTTCTCTCTTCTTGAGTTGTCTTTAGAAAAAAAATACACGCATCCAAATTTCATTGAGTTTTGAGTGTAATCTGTGTCACAAACCAACTGTAATTTAAGGAAACAGAATGTTACAGAAATCACTCGAAATAATAAACTTGAAAAATGTAGAAAGAATATTGGTTCCATATTATTATATTACATTTTTATTATTAAATTTTCGTTTAAAATTTTGTGATTTTTAATAAAACATATGAATTTTTTATACATTTCGTTTATACGATTCGTTTCGTATAGTGTAACTTCATGAGAAAATTACGCACTATCGAAATTAATTTCGAATCGAGTTTTATTTCGATCATGACTGCGATAATTACCTTCCTGTTGTGTAATGTGTGAAGCTGTTTTGAGTTTGTACAGCCGCTTGAACTTTGTTCTGAACTACACTAAGCATATCGAGTAAGAGAATATGTATTCATTCATGACGGCTTGATCTGTATAAGTACAATAGTTAATTAAATGTTTGTAGTTTTGCAGCCCCTTTATTTTGGATTAAGTAAAAAGTCAATATATTTTAGGAATGCAATATTACACATTTTTTATTTTTATATTGTTTTTATGTTGTAATCAATACAATGTTACAATGCTGGAATTTTCAAAATAGTTTGTATATAGTTATTATTTTTCATTAATTTTACAAATACAAATATTTATTGTCATTGATGCTGAAGTTAAGATGAAGGATGATCATTATAAATAAATAATAAAAAAAATCATACATTCTGCGCTCATTTTTATTGCTATTTGTAAAGCTGCACATTTTCTAATACGTAGTGACATGTGGCCTTTGTATGTTTATAGGAATTATTTATATCATGTGGTGATTATTGTTATTTTAGAATAAGACGACGAGTTTTGTGCGAAAGTCTATTTTTGTTTAAATTTTATTAAACATATTAAAATTGTACGTATGTATGTAGTTGTGTATAATAAGTTGTAGGCGTTTTAAATAAATTATTTTTAGTTTATAAATCTTAAACAAATTAATTTCTTAATTATATTATACAAATAAAATATTTTTGATTTGTTTTCAATCGAGAAGTACTTCGTTGCTAGTGAACAATTGTTTCAATAAAAAAATAATAAGAACATAAAGATAAATATTATTATATAATTAAGTTATTTTCTATAAAGAAAAATAGATATATAAATGGACAGTTTAATTTAATTAAATGCACATGGCAATGATGCGACGTATATTAAGTGTTTTTTGTTTTTTTTATACAAAAATTAAAAAAATAAATATATGTATTTTGATTTGAATTATTAATGTTAATCACACACTTCTTTTACGGAAAACTTGTTTACTTTCTTTTGATTTAAGAAATTCTTAAGGCTTTAATGTAAATACGAGTATATAAATAGTTTTATAAATGAAAACGAGAGGAGGAAGCATTTTTTAATAGATGTTCATGTGTTTTGCAATTTTGTTATGAATTTTTGATGTGAACATGAAGTGTAAATATGTATGTATGTATGTATAAATTCTGCAATTCAGTCAATAGTTATTTCGAGTCTCATTTGTATGGTTTGTTTGATTTGTGTACATATATGGTAAATTTGTATTAAATACTATTTTAAGGCATAATTTTGTAAGAAAAAATAAATTTTCAGAGTTTTGTGTACTTTTAAGGAGCACAGGAGAAATCTCAAACGCAGCCATACTCATACCAAATACTATTATTTTTATCTTCCGGTCGTTTATTACGCATTAGTTTATTATCATCCTGATTGACATCCATATCACGATTGCTGCTGCCACTTCCAGCAGCAGTGGTAGTTAAAGGTGTTTCACTGCCACTTAAATTAGTAGAATTTCCACCAATTATATTATTAATGCGATTGTACATAAGAAAAGTTGCTGGATTTTCTGATTTTTGAGTTGAAGTTGGAGTTTGTGGTTCAGCTGTGTTATTTTTTCCACTCAAAGTTGCAGTTGAACTGCTATTACTACCACTTCCACCTCCTCCACCTCCACTGCCATCAGCTGTTTCGGGGATTTTTTGATTCTCATCTATCAAATAAACGGTACGCCTTGAACCAGCTGCCCCCAATGTTAAACTGCTTCCTGTTACATCAGGCGCCTCCAAACTTTTATTAAAAAAAGCAAACAAATTAGAACAATGCAGAATTAATAATTATTAGTTTTTCAATTGCAGCCAGAGATAAAAAACTATCTAATTATTAAAAATAATAAATTTAAAAACATCTCAAGCATTTTAGTACATTTGCCCCTCATTAATTAGTTTTTTTTTTTTTTTGATTTTTGGCAAGAAAATTATTTATATTTTTAAAAATGACGTTACAAACGATCAAAAGCTATTTACGAAGAACATCGAAAATATTGTTAAGGAAAAGCAATTTGTACAATGCATGTACATATCAATGCAACTACACAATCGAAAAAAATACATAAAGATCAATTGTTCCGTTATAAATAAAGATTAGATGTAAAATAAATGTGTCTATTGAATCGTATTTTCAACGACAATAAATATAAAGTTGGAGTATTGGATTTCTTTTAAAATTCTATGATATAAAATTCTAAATACATACATATTTTTTGTTAGTTTAGCAGAAGCTACCTTTGGAACTTATTTAATTAGATAAGAGCTGAATGATTACTTATAAAAAGCATTTGTATAGTTGCATGTATTGCGAACAATAAAATAAATAAATGAAAAAATTAATATTAGGAATATTAGGAAAAAAACAACAAATAGAAATGTGAAAAATATTATTATTTTCAGCTTTAAAGCTTAGCAATTTTA